TTCTATCTTCAAAGATAATAAAAATGTACTTATTATCTCTTACAACCGCTTTTTTATTCTTTTATATTTTTATTTAAATTCATTTATTTATTTAATATCGTTTGGATTTAGATATATTTGAATTTTGCTGTAAAATACTGTTGGTGGGATAAATAAATAAATAATCTTGTTACTTCAACCTTAAAAAAATAATTAACTATTGCGTTGTTCAAGTTTTAAACAATATTTCTTATATGAGAAGGAGTTGATGGAGGGGTGAGGTCAAATAAATACTAAATTATACAAATAGTATTATTTAATTTTTGCCGACGTTTCGACCCACTTTGCAGGTCTTCATCAGGGCTACAAAAGATACAAAACATGGTGAAAATAAAATAAATGAATATAAGTAGATATAAAATAAGAAGAAGTTGTCTGATAAAGAAATAAAAAGATGATATCAGAGATATAGTGGGTGACAATGTAGTTAAAATATCAAGTATTATATATATATATGTATGTATGTATATATATATATATATATATATATATATATATATATATATATATATATATATATGTATGTATGTATATATATATATATATATATATATATATATATATATATATATAGAAGATACGAACAAAAATTAAAAATAAGTATGAATAAAAATAGAAAACAAAGGGGATATAGCATGTAAGTTAAAAGTAAACAGATTGCGATAAAAGATAAGGAATGAGTGTATAACAAACTAATAAAGATTACATTTGATAACTTTAGGTTAACAGGTAAAGAAAATTAATGTTAACGAATAAAGAGATTAAAAATTGAATAATTATTGATATAGTAAAGCTAAAATAAGAATAAGATAACATAATAATAAGATATCAGTGGATAACAAGCTAATGGATGTTACATTTGATAACTGTAGGTAAACAGATACGGGACTAAAGGTTAAGAAATAAAGAAATTGAAAGATTAATAGGATAACATTAGTGTAATATAGCTAGGATAGATTATTAAGTATAAATAACTCTATAAGAAAAAAAAATTTAGAAGGTAAGTATAAATGTAAACCAAGGTTATGATGATAATAACAAGTGTACTATATATAGATGACAATTGACATTAATTTTTTTTAAGCGGTAATGGAGTAGTAGGCTGCATGAAGATAATAATAAGGTGTAAAAATTAAATAATACTATTTGCATATTTTAGTATTTATTTGACCGCACCCACCGATCAACTCCTTCTCATATTATATCACGGTCAACCATCTCTACATCAATATTTCTTATAATTTTGCCAGACTTGAAAGAAACAGGAAATAAAACGTATCAAGGTGACTATTATCATCGAAATAATTCTCTGATATGATAACATAACATACAACCGCCGAACCGCCATCAGCTCCACTGCTTCAGGAGCGGTCAGATAGGAACAACTTAGATATGACGTCATATCTAGACTGCCGAGCTGCGAAATAGGTTCCTTACTATTCCACTAAAGCAGTGGTCAACCGCGAGCAGTCGCGGTCGTGGGCCGCGCCAGCGAAATAGTACCTTAAGCTAATCGTGAAATCAACAAAACTGAAGGAGAGTGTGTTCTTGATGAGGTAACCGCCCGGTTTCAATATACGTCCTCGGAGGGGAAGAAGTGCTCAGGGCGGCGATCATTCGAGACTGATGAGGTTCTTCAGCAGCTGTTGGATTAAATCTATCCACAAGTACTCGCGATCTTGCCAAGGAGTGTGCTGTGTGAAGAGATCCTATTTGTCGCCATTTACTGGTCAACCGCAAAAGAGTTCTGTACCAGCAAGATAACGCCCGGTCGCATACTTTCCGACAGACTAAGGAAAAATTTAAAAATCTTGATGGTATCGAACTTGTTCCACACCCACCATTCATTCCGGGCCTTGCTTCATCAGATTATTATTTGTTTCGATCCATGGCCCATTTTTATTGAAAGGAAACAAAAATAATACATTTCAAGAAGTCGAAGCAGCGGTTCAGTAATTTTTTGATAGCCATTCAAGTAGCCAGAGTGCATGAGATCAATGGAAACCTGCATGGGATCAAGCAAGTGATCGAAAGATGGGCAACGACAATGCACTTCAATGGGTAATATTAATTTGAATATTAATTTTATGTTACATTAAAGAAAAAAAATATTATATATATTTTTTATTGAAGAACTGTAATTTTTTTACAGCTTATAAGCATGAAAACTTTCCGAATTCCCTACAAAACTAATTTGAATACATTTTGTGCGAGTTCAATTAAAAAAAATAAACATTTAAAATAAATTGCTAGTATTGCTTAAAATGGATCCACTTAAAATATAAAGAAACATCAGGTATATATATAAATAATCTTTCCTACTCCTATAATATCAACTAGTGGCTCTGTAACAATGATACTGCCAACATGTGAGCTGACACATAATATGGTAATTCAATATTATATAAATCCTTTATCAAGAATAAATTTAATAATAATAAGGTAATATAATAGTTAAAAATAGATGTGACGAGTATGATACTGGCTATTACGATGTATTTTAAATAAGAAATGTAAGGTACAAGTACATGATAGGTAATTATAAAAAAGATTATATATCAAAATATATACTTATATATTTTTTTAAATATGGCAATGATTATACAAATAATCATGCTTGAAAAGTTAACAAAAGAATATTAATTAGATATGACTATGAATTGAAAAATTGTTTTTTTTACTTGAAAATGGCTCGACGAGACGAAACGTCGTAGAAGGATTGTGGAAGTGAAAACATCGGTGTAATGTTGGCTTATATATATATATATATAAAAAAAAAAAAAAAAAAAAAAAAAAAAAAAAAAAAAAAAAAAAAAAAAAGAATTTGAGTTCTACCAATGGGTAGTTTCTCTTCATGTTTTACATGTCATGTTACCAATGTCACATTGACTTGTTGTATTTTTAATGTAATACAGTTGTAAATTTCATTAAAATAAAAAAAAATATATACGACACCGAAATAAAAGAAAATAATACTGAGAATAAAAGAAAATAATATTGAAATCTGGCCATATTGAGCAAAGAGACATCCAATTATTTTTTACACGTGTTTTAATTTGTTAAGGTTAAAAAATAATCAGGATATGCAGTAATTTATGTTATTTATTAGAATTACCGACGTTTTAACGCAAATATTTGACTCATCATCAGGGCTACAAAATTAATAAGAAAAAATGATCAGAAAAACGAAATCAGTAGTATGTTAATAACCCAAGATAAAAGATGGAAAGTAATGTTTTAATTATTAGCCCTTCTGATGACCCGCGTGCTTGTGTCGAAACGTCAGCAAGCCTAATAAACAATACAAATGACTTCTTATTTATGATCCTAGTCATTTTAAAGGTTCGCTTAGACATTTCACAAACAATGAGAAACACAATTATCAAACTTAACTAAGAGCGACAATAAGGCTAATCCAAACTTTTTTTTCATTTCTCTTGTTACCGGCAGCAGATGGAAAACATCAGACACAGAAGCACTAGCATAGGGGAAAAACATTATGAAATTCTATTTTCCCATATTCTTTTAAATGACCAAACGCATCTTAATAGTAAAATATTTCCGAGTGCTCCAACACCTACTAGAGAAACGCTCTAAACTTTCAATTAATTTCAAAAGACTCATCTACTTAACCATAATAAGACCTATATGGACATACGGAGTTGAGCTTAGGGGCTCTGCAAACCATCGAATTTCTACCGTATCCAATCCTTACAATCCAAAATCCTTCTTAAAATCCTTAATGCTCCATATCTTGTCATAAATAAAACCATTCATAAAGACTTTAATGTCCCATATGCCGCTGATTTAGCCCGAGCCAGATACCTATCCTTTCATGGTAAACTCTAGTCCCATCCGAATCTACTTGTTTCCAGCCTTGTTTCTTCCTCGATTCCTGATAATTCCCCTAGGCGCCTCAAAAGAAGATGGGCTCGTGATCTTCTCACCTAGAATCAAATAGGGAGTGCTACCACTGGGCAGTATCTCTTCAAGTCTGTTCATGTCATGATTTCTAATGTGTGCATTTTTACATGTTGTATTGTTTATATAGTTGTAAATTTCATAAATAATTTTTAAAAAAAATATTAAAATATATCTCCATCTCTTATGTATTGATTTATTATTTGAATTGAACTTTCGACCTAGGATATAAAGATATATTACTTCTTATAATGCATTCAATTTACTTATTCCCATATTATATTCCCGTTTGCTCACTGACTAGTGTAGTAATGCGAGACCAAGACGAGTCTTGGTCTGGCAAGCTCAGTCTTGGTCATGGTCTTGTTTTTGCGCCAGAGTCTCGCAACAGCCTTGCAGTTACTTAGTAAGTAGAGATATTACTGCAATTTTTTTTAGATCGGAGAAACTTAACTAAGACCGAATGAAAAATTAGAGGAGTTAAATGCACTATCACTGACCAATACACTATGTGAGTTATTCACACGGGCCTACTAGTGATGTAATTATTATCTGTATAGTGTTCATTGAACTTTTTGTGAGTTATTTTGCAATACCGAACTGAGGAAAAGCGTTTCATCGGGGGCATCGTCGAAAGGTTACAAAGGAGTTACATATACCGGAATTGGAACTTTCTTCCATACAATCATATATTTTATTTCAATCTGCAACGCGACAAGTATAAGGCTCAAACTCGACACCAATTGAGGAAAAGCGCTCCGGAGATGTCTTGTTTTATACCAAAATAACGTGTGACCTGTCACATTACAAACATTACTTCAGTTAAGCTGGAATATGTTGCCTTTTCCGCCCTATTCACCTCACCTAAACTTTATTTCGGACGCTACACGTTCCCCTCAAATATGGTAAATGGAAACACTAAGAAAAAAAAAATGAAATTTTTATGTTCATATATTAGAATTAGATATATTGTGCATGGCAATTATTAATGGCATTTCACAACGAGGCTATGTTTTACACTTTTTTTTTTTTATAATTGATAGGTTGTGGAAGCGGAAAATATCTCAACGTCAATCCTTCGATTTTCAAACTTGGAGTTGACCGATGCAGTCGTTTGGCGATGGCGGCAAGAGAAGAAAAAAGCGAGGTAAGACTCAATTTAATTTTCATTTTAACTCATAATTTCTTTAATTTTATAGAATAATCCAAAATCCTTCGTAAAATCCTTAATGAGCCTTACTTTATAACAAATAAAACAATCCATAATGACCTGAATGTTCCAAATGTCTCCCATTTGGCCCAATACAGATAACTATTCTTCCATAATACACTTCAGAACCATCCTGATCTTCTCGTTTCTGACCTTGCTTCTTCCTCGATCCCTAATAACCCTCGTAGGCTTCTGAAAAGAAGATGGCCTCATGATCTCCGAATTTAGATACTTTATTAGAGTGCTACCAATGGGTAGATTCTCTACAAGCTTTGTCATGTATTTACTTATCTCTGTATCACATTTGCTGAACGTATATTAATTTGTACAGTTTTAAATTTCATAAATAATAATAAAATAATACAAAAATTATGGAATAAATTTGTAAAATATTTTTATAATCTTCCTTCGCCAAAGTTCGATTTCAGCCAGATTTTTTTGTGTGTGTTTATCTGTTTCCTAGGCGTTAATTACGGAAATATCGACGGTTTACTGGTAAAATATCACTAAGTAGATTTTTAATGGAGCTTAACTTTTAATATATTTTTGTTAATTTCGACCTTCAAGTGGCACGAACCCCTTTGCATATGGTATTCGTCATCGACCTTGGGTGGATGGTTATACCTGAGCCCAAGAAGGTAAGCTTGCAAAAAATTTTAGTTAGGTATTCCAGTTCAACCTCCTGCTGGTAACACTGCTCTTCATCAAAATTCTCCCTTCAATAGAAATGTTGTTTGTTTTTTTATGTTTTGAAGAATATTGAATACGAATCCAAGGGCAGAAAATCAAGCACCAATTCGTGTCAAATTTGTGTTATGCTTCTAAAAAATGTGGTGTTTTTAAACATTTTGGCAACTTTTTTTATCATTAAAAACTTCAATGAAAAATAAAAATAAAAAAATATTTGATTTTGAAGTTATTACAACATGAAAAATCTCCGAGAGCTCAAGTATTAAGCTTCAAGAACATTGGTAGTCACATATTTACTCTCTATTCAAGAACCTGGATTTTAAAGGAAAATAAAATGAAAATGAAAAGAGAGATTGGTCTGCGTTTGAAAACATATGTCAACAATTTTCGATCAACAAAACAGTAACAAATTACAAAGATATTGTTTAAAAAATGCGATTATCATTTAAAGGTTACATACAACTAGCCATTAAAAATTCATTTTTTGCACTCTCGTTTGGAATTTTCCTCTCTTCAACTTGGGAGCAGTTTCAGATGAACACGGAAAACAGTTTCATCAAGAAATAGCCCAAATGGAGAAGATAGTATTGCGATAAATGCAATGAAAAGATGCTTGTGTTGACTATTGTTGGACAATGGAATGTACATGGTGTTGTCCAAATGCGAGACGAAGACGATTCTTGGTCTTGCGCACTCAGGCTTAGTCATGCGTAAGAGTCTCGCAATAACCTATTAGTTTATTACTATAGAGATATTATATATATTATATTTTAGAAAGAAGAAACCTAACTAAGCTCAAATGAAAAATCAGAAGAGTAAAATGCAAAAGTATATTGGTTATACCAATTCATTACATATAAAAAAAAAAAAAACTGTACCACTACAACCCATGAAAGGTCTTGGGTTCAGTATTATTTAGGGAAAGCACTTTTTCTAGATCAAAGGTTGTGCAAGGATGTGATTTGACCGAGATCACGCTCAACCGCCAGGTTTTTCCCCTTAATTAATCATTTAATTAAGGGTACCCACTTTACAGAGGCTGGGTGTGCCCCAGGAGGGTCTCCTGACCCAGGGTCGCCCCACGGTCAATGAAACAGAATAAATAAATTTTCTGCCATGAGCCGGGATTCGAACCTGGGACCTTTAGCATAGGAAGCTCTGTACCCTACCACTGAGCTACCTCACTTCCTATTTTACATATAGTAACTAAAATTGTCAAGTATTAGTAGCTATTTTGCCTTAATTTTTATTCAAGAAATCTATTTTTTTTTACCTATCTTGGTCTTGAATCAGTTAGACGGTCTAAGTCTTGGTCTTGCAAAGTGCAAGACCAATACTGGTTCTGGGCAGCACTAAATGTACACAGCTGATGAACACTGTAAAAGGAAAAAATATACACTTTGACTAGGCATAAAGTAATATTATGTTCAGGATTAAACATTTTATATATTATTATTCATATTCACAAGAAAATAAATAAAGTAAAAAAACAAAATGCTATTTCAGTTGTTTTTTTTCAAAAACAATCTTCATTTACTCAAAAATAATGTCTGATTTTTCGGACTTCATTTTCTAACTCAGCACACATTAAAATATAAAAATCGGGAAGCAATTCTCAAGGAAGAGAAAAATATTTTTTTTTTTGCAGAACAATGTAATCGGTTTTTGCAATCATGTTGACCGCCCGATTCAGGTGGCCATTCTCTAAAGCCACTTCGCCGCGGGATTCTAAGAAATTTAATTATCTCCTCTCCCCCCAGGCTAAGGGTGCTCATAACCCTTCTGGGGGTCATCTACATCACATCGATCTAATGTCTAATAGTCTAGCCAGATTATGAAATACCAAATTTCATATAACTTAATCCGAAATCGCGATGTGATTTTCATGGACATTAAAGCTACAACCTTAATGCTTGATCATAGGATTTCCTCCTGATCCTAAGCAGATATAATTCGTGGATCAAGACCGATTTGACACTGCCCTCTGAGTGTAGTGTCGTACTTTGGTGGGAAGGGCACAGCCAAAATTGGCCCCAAAGGGACCTGTTATCGAGTTATGGGTGGCCTGCCGCTGCACCATTGAATACATTTCTCGCCGTAACGTGATGCTGGGTTACCCTCTCAAGGCTTTTTATCCCATAAGTAATATATGTTCGTAAAAAAAGACCATATCACATGACCGAAATTTGTTCATATTCTACAGCGCTAACCATATGCCAATATATAAACATACACGTAGATGGTGCATTTGCGTGTTGACATATTTTTCATGTTTAACAATTTTTTTTGTTTTTAGCATTTTATAATAATAATAATAGAGAAAGAAAGACGAGAAAGGAATAAATAATATTTCTTTGTATTTTATAGGTGGTTTCCTCAAAAAAATAATATTATTCAGGATTTGTTTATATACTTTTAATGTTTTATAAACAAGAAGGAAATTTTGATGGATTTTTTTTTAATGTTCCTTTTTAACAATAGCAATAAATTTGGTACATGTGAGCGACGTGGTCTCTATGGACTGCTATCTGCAGTTATCTTGTTATTTAAAGTGTTGTTGTTTTTATTTATATTTCTTATTATTAAATTGCTATATTATTATTATATTTATATTTCTTATTTATATATATATATATATATATTATATATATATATATATATATATATTAATAAGAAACAGGAAAAAAAAAGGCAACACCAAATATATTTATATTTCTTATTATACGAGAGTCTAATTTCATATAGAAGATAGGGATTATCAGTGCCTTATAACAATTATCAGTGTTCAGGTTATAAACATTCAATAACAAAAAATATAAATAACAACAACAACACTTTAAATAACAAAATAACTGCAGATAGTAGTCCATAGAGGCCACGTCGCTCACAAGTACCATAATTTTTTTTAGAACTTTCAAATTTGTCACAAGTTTTTTGAATAATAATATAATCTGCCATATTGGCAACAAATATGTGGACTATAAGTATCCATTCATACAATATGTACATGCAAAAAAGAAAGCAAATATAAATACTTAATTAAAAAAAAAATAACATTAATGATAAAAAATATATAATGTAGATTTGAAGACGAGTAAAAATAAAATAAATCTTCTAAAAACCTAGTAATACTTATATACGATATACTCAGCCAAGGGAACACCCTACTAGACTTTTCCCTCACTTTGGAAGGAAAAGCAGGGCTCCAAGAGTTCCCTGCTATACTCTCTCAACCGCCGGCAATAAAAGTCGGTGTAGATTCAGTGAGAATACTATTTTTTCTGTATTTACAGTAAAAGTTTAAGTTTTATTTTTTTTATGTTATGTTTTGAAGCTATGTTAAATGAGAAATAAACAGTAATTGGGCTTAGAGTGAAAATATGATGAATAAATTTTCTGCTTCTTATAATTTGGTTGATTTTGTAACTAAGGATGGAATTCTTTGAAATTTTTGTTGGGAAGTTTCGTGAAAAAAAGTTCTAGTTCCGAAATAACAAAAACAATATAAAAATACAGATACCAGTCCTATCGGAACTGATTAAAAATATAAGTTGAATTTTCATTTACAGCCCTGGTTATAAATAAGTGATTTCCTAAATAAATAAGCGAAAGATGTGAACTATGTTTACTTGTATTATTCCTTCCATTCCTCAGATTGTTATAATTTCTTGTTTTAATCCCAAATTTCAGTACATGTAATGTTTCTTAAACATTGATGGTAAGATTATAAAATACTGTTGTAGGTGATGGTTTGTGACAATCTTGCCTTACCTTTCCGAGACGAAAGCTTCGATGCCGTACTTTCCATAGCAGTTGTCCATCATTTCGCTACAACCGAAAGAAGAATAACTGCTCTGAAGGAACTAGCAAGGATACTGAGGATTGGAGGGAGGTTGGTCATATCTGTCTGGGCAATGGAGCAAAGGCATAGAAAGGTATGTCATGTATAAGCATTTATTTTTTTAACGCTTTTGCAGATATTAAAATAAGTGTCGCTTCCGTATTATTGAACCCAACAATTATAAAACAGACAGCACTGTATTTTTTCAAAATTAATTTTCAATAGTATCTGATTCTGTCAAAGAAGTATGGTGTTACTTCGACAAATTCTATTTATCTTTTTTTAACTCTCCTGGTACGAGTAATAGCCTGGCTTTGTCCTTTTAATATTTTAAATAAATTAGCTACAGTACGACTCTGGTTATATGAATCTTCCTTAAGACACATCCTGCCCGCATAAATTGGGTTGAAGGAATATCTTGATTGCTGACCTCATCACCTTCTTGTATTGGTCGTGAAGCAATATTTTCTTACAAAGTACTGGTATGCATTAAGTTATAGGTTTTAAAAATATAGACTTTTTTCACGGTAAGTTTTTTAAATTTCCATTGTTTTCTTGTGTAAGCCTTCTATTTTTGTTTATGTTTATTGATATTTTCTTCTTTATTATAAAATATATATGAAATCTTGAGCATTGTTCACGCTCTTTTTTGAATTAAGCAACGTCATCATATGTTTGAGAATTCATTCACTCTATTGTAATAATTAAAAATATTCTCAAGCCTATAAATATGTATACTATGAAGTGTCTCTGTCTTATGGAGAACGAAGACAATTATCTGGTAACAAAGACATTTGTATGATAAATGCTAACTAAAATATCCATGCTATTTTTTTTTCATAAACATATTTGTATGATTGAGAGTAATTATTAACATAGTTTATGGTAATAGTAAAATAGATCAAAGACCAAAATACTGGTGAGATGCCATTAAAGAATATTCATTTCTTGATTACCAAGATACCAAAACATTACGTAGAGAAAACGTAGCCATACTGGCTTCAGAAGGCAGGGAATCTTCGCATTAATCGAGGAAGTGAAACGAAGTGTTATCTTTGCAATTGAAAATGTTCACTAGTATTTTACGGACGTTGTAGAAATAAAAAAAACATATTTAGTTTCGTGTCTGTCTGCAGTCAAATCCATGTGACTTGCAGAACACCTGCTACTCTTTCTTGGATTTCGATGAAATCTTCAGAACTTCTGTATGTTGGCTACTAAATGTTCCCATATCAATTTTATCGAAGTTTATCCATTGTATTTGCTTAAGAATACTCAAATGTATTTTCTTTAACACACCTATATTTCAAAAACGACTCTTCTAATTGGAAAGTAATAGATTTGTAAAATGGTCCACTAGACATTATTTTCCTCGAATTTCGTCGTTCTACTTCTCTACTACTGTTGGTAGTATAGTCTTTGCCTATTATTTTCACATCATCTTCTGATACCTTGGAAGATTCGACCTAAATTTCAAGTTTACAAAATAATCCTTTTTCTATTTTATTCTATCAAAGATGATCTCCCGTATGGTTTAACATTACATTTTTGTTTTAAAATGTTGTCAAGTTAATCGGCATTTTCGCCAACTTTATTGAGAAATTCTTGTTCTTTGATAATAGTGGTTGGCTTCATTTTGTTTTGTTTTTTGGAAGGTGTTGTTATCTGTTAGAAGACAAAACTGTGCTAAGACAAAGTTCAATAAGGATAGTTCACGCAAGTGAAAGAGTGGTTATCGATTTACTATTGTTTTCGAGTATAATAGAAATGTAACATTTAGCTCAGAAAGTACTAAGTTTTTCTTTTTCTTTTTTTGAAAGTTGGCGATTATGTTTTCAACTTTTATCAACGCTCTTCTTGAATCATTTATTATTGAATGTTCAATATGGAAAAACACCACCATGTGACTACCACCGATCAATGCTCATAATTATCCATTTAAGAATTGGATATGGCAGCAAATTTGTGAAACATCCGAAGATAAATTTCATTTAGCGGCAGAAACTGGAATTAAGTGGATCAGCTAGAAATTATGGACAGTTATGATTCTAAATAGACTTTTCTATTTTTGATTTTAAATGATCAGCTAGTGGTACTACTGTACAGGTCTTTTGCAGATTAGGCCCTCTAGTTGTTTTTTAAACAGAAAAAGTATCTATTATAGAAAAGTATCAGTTACATTTGAATCAATGTTATATTATTTTTCTTTATGGCTGTTGTTGCCTCTGTGATGTCTGTGGATACCGCGGAAGGCGGCCAAAAGAAAATTGTAAAAGTCGAATGGCCAGACACAGAAGGTGTACTATTGGGAAAGACAGTCTCGATAGATGATGTCTTCCCAGCATTGCCAAATGTTCCACAGAATGTCGCAGGGGCGAGCAGAGAGCAGGAGGAAGAAGTTATACGCCCTAATAATAAGGTTTGTCCCATATGTGGGCTTTCTTTTAAGGGTGAAAGAGCTCTTGGAACCCATATTGCAAAAAAGCACCCCAGGGAGGCTAACACCAATACACTGAGGGGCATAGTGAAAAATGTTATAGGTCCAAAAAATGGAGAGGGTGAGGTATCAAAAATAAAAGAGGACATTATTGGATGGTCTACCGTGTTCAAGAATCTCTTAAAAGAAAACACAATGAATATTGCGGATTTTGATGAGGCCGTAGGCAAGTTCCTGAATTTTCTCAAGAATATCAATGCGGAACTGCCAGGTCCCCAGCACCCAGCCGTTAAATTTTACAGGATGAGAAAAAAAAAAAAAAAAACTAAAATGGCTGATAAGGGTGCTGGACAAGTCTCAAATCCGCAAAGAGCGAACAAGGTAGACAGGAGTCGTCGGCAGGAGCAGTATCAATACGAAGTCGCACAGTATAATTATTACAATAAAAGAAAAAAAGTTGTGCAAACTGTTATGAATGCCGATGCTCCTAAGAGGTGTCCTATAAAGATGGCCGATATCGAAAAATATTATAAAGACCTCTTTGAGAGCGAAAATCTCTGCAGGCGTGCGGATTACGAGCAGTGTGCCCCGATGCCAAATTTAGTGTCCATTGATGTAGAAACCGTCAAGAAAGCCATTAAATCAACATCAATGGACACATCGCCGGGGCCTGATGGAGTTCTGATCCGCACGATTAAATATTTTGATGTTGCAAATATTATTAGAACAATTGCGGAGATAATGCTGAAGGTGGCCTATGTCCCAGAACCACTTCGACAAGGGCGCACAATACTAATATATAAGGGGAAAGGTGATGTAAACAAAATCCCTTCCTGGAGACCCATCACCATTTATTCTATTGTGCGCCGAATCATAGAGAAGGTTCTGGACCACGAATTAAGAAAACAGGTCACCTTCCACAGGAATCAGAGAGGCTTTATAAAAGGCCTCCCGGGAACGCACGTCAACGCAAGGATTATCGACGCTGTATTGAAAGATGCAAAGATTATGAAAAAAGATTGTGCGGTGGTATTCCTTGACGTTGTCGGTGCTTTTGACAATGTTGGCCACAATCATATCGTGAGCTCCTTGGAAGCAAGAGGTGTGTCGCCGGATCTTCAACACGTTATATCGGCTCTCCTCTGCACGAACACAATCAAAATTAGTAACGGTGTTCACGCAACTAGCCAAATCAAAGTGCTGCGCGGGGTACCCCAAGGCGGCCCCTTGTCGTCGTCGCTCTTCAACCTGGCCATTGACCATCTCTATCGCGACCTGTGCGATGAAGAATTTTCCAAAAAATTTGGATACAAGTTAAAAAGTGACCAAGGTTGTGTGGTCCTCACAGGTTTCGCGGATGACCAGGCCGTGTCAGCGCGTGACAAGGGGGCTGCAGAAAGAGTGATCGGCAGCGTTCAGAGGACATTTGAGGGAATTGGTTTGGCTATTAATCCTCAAAAAAGCGTGGGCATCGTTCTAAATAAAGGAGAGCTGGAAACCGCGATGCTCTCCCTTGAGAACGGAGAGTACATCCAAACAATGCAGAATGGAGATACAATCAAGTATTTAGGATGTACATTCTCGGGAGAGCTACAGTTCAACGAAGATTCGGTGACCAAATTGAACGAAAACCTGAATAAACTGGTAACCTCTCCCTTGCTGAAGCCGGAGCAGAAGCTAAACATTGTCAACCAATATCTGTTCCCGGGTCTTACTTACCCTCTCCAAACTGCGCCCCTCACAAAGCTGCGTCCTGCCGTACTTGACGGCATCGACACCATGATTCGCAGGAGTGTGAAGGCTATTGTTGGACTCCCTGCGAACACCTCCACGGCGATGTTGTACTCTCCCAGGAGGTATCGAGGATTAGGATTAATCCGCTGCCAATGGGAGGCTCCTCTACAACATTGGTCCATTGCTCAGCGACTGTCCAATGTGCCCGATGCCCTTTTTCAGTCGATCTTTGATTATTCGGCTGAGGTTGATGAATGTGCCGAGAGATTGGGGGTTGATCGGGGTATTCGGAATATGAGAGCTCTACGGCAGTCGCTTCGAGAAAATTCGTTTGAGGAATGGACCAATTGCAGGTGGCAGGGCATTGGAGTTCGCCATTTTAAAGAGACCCCGAAAGCCAATAAATACATGTATGATAAGCAAGTACTTTCTGGGTCTGAATGGTCAAATGCCCTGAAACTAAATATTAATTATGCTCCCCTGCGTGGAGTCCCAGGTGTCAGCGGACAGGTAAGAGAAGTTGGGTCCCTCTGTCGCAAATGCGACAGAGAGCCAGAAACACCAGCACATGTGCTTGGAAAATGCCCCAACAACTCCCTCCTTATAACACGCCGTCACCACAGAGTCAAGCATGAACTGATGAGGCTCCTTGAAGAGAGAGAATACGCCTGTTTCGAGGAAGTATATTGTATAGATACGGATGGATCCACCCGATATGCCGACATTGTAGCATTCCCTAAGACGGGAAAGTCGGCGATGATTTTGGATCCGACCGTGAGATATGAGACCAACGACCTCGATCAGGCAGAAAAAGTGGAAAGGGAGAAAAAACAGATATATGAGAAATGCATCCCTTTCCTTAGTGAAAAGTTCCGCGAGAGTTTCGGGCCGAGAGAGTTCCACGTGAGAGGCCTTTGGTTCGG